GCTGAAGCAGCAGAAGAAGGAGGAGGAGTCGGCCGGCGGCACCAAGGGCAGCAGCAAGAAGGCGTCGGCGGCGCAGCTGCGGATCCAGAAGGGTAGGGGTCGGGTGGACGTAGGGGCCGCGGGCAGGGGCAAGGCCGGGCCCGGGTCCGGGCCGCGGGCCGGGGTCGATGCGGCGGTCGGCCGGGGGTGTCCTGACAGCAGGCCGGGGAGCGTCCGGGGAGGAAGGCCGTGGAAAGCCCGGCAGCCGACACAGAGTGTGGGGAAGGAAATGGAGAGCGCGAGGGTGATGTCTGATCGGGGAGTCTGAGACTTAAGCGCCCTAGGGGGATAGATGGAGGAGGAAGGAACGGTGGATAGTAGAGACTGAAAGCAGCAGTGGTGAGGGACGATTTAGACTATGGTGCTGGAAACTTTATAGAGTGGGGCAGGAGAGGGGACTTGCAAGTGTGAGGGAGAACAGGAGACCCAGAGTTGGAGTGACACTCAGATTAGTGTAAGGGTGGTACAAGGCACGCAGAGGAGGATCTTTAGTGCAGGTCATGATTGGTGAACCTGAGGTTGGACATTTCCAGGTGATGTTGAAGACCAGGGGACACGGCAATGGGGCACTTCAAAGCCGGTTAGGAAAAAATGGGGAGTTAGGATTCATTCAGGAGTTAGGAGTTAGGATTCATTCAGGAGAATGAAGCTGTAACTGATGGATGTCAGGGGGGACTTACACAGAAAAGCCCACTTACAGTGCCGAGCGCATGAAGTGAGGAGTGAGTAAAGAAATATGGAACAGAACTCCTTGGATCCGAGAGGAAGAGGAAGCCATGAAGGCTGTGGTGACACTTAACCAGAGCTCGTCCTTTTTCTCACTTGCTCTTTCTTTCCCTCTGTCTGGCCCCTTTCTCTTCTTATAAACATAGACATAAACGAGCTGAACCTGCCCAAGACGTGTGACATCAGCTTCTCTGACCCAGACGACCTCCTCAACTTCAAGCTGGTTATCTGTCCTGATGAGGTAAGAGCAGACCTAGCACGGCTCCCAGGAACAGACCAGGGATGGCCTCCCTGGGCTGAGGGGAGATCTTCATGCCCAGTAGGATTGGGCCCTGATGTCTTTTTTTTCCCGCTGTTCTCCTTGCAGGGCTTCTATAAGAGTGGGAAATTTGTGTTCAGTTTTAAGGTGAGTCCCAAGTAGGCAGAGATGGCTTAGCAGGCTGTACCAGGCCTCCTTGCCTACCAACCTTCTTTTTCTTTTCCTGGAGCCAGGTGGGCCAGGGTTACCCACATGACCCCCCCAAGGTGAAGTGTGAGACGATGGTTTATCACCCCAACATTGACCTCGAGGGCAATGTTTGCCTCAACATCCTCAGGTGAGGTCACTGGCTCTCCCCATCCCTTGCGTGCAAGACCCTCTAAACCTGTAAACACTGCATTAGGCTCTGTCCCTTCCCTCCGCTCCCTCGCTCATGTGGTCTGTGTTACTCTATGCCTTCCTATCCCAGTTTTTTCCCTGCTCAGTATATTCCCTCTACTTTCTGCCATCCATACTCTCCCATCCTAAACCTGATCTGTTTAGTACTAGCTTACCAATCACCAAACCAAACTAACCAGGATATTCTCTACCTACAGAGAGGACTGGAAGCCAGTCCTTACGATAAACTCCATAATATATGGCCTGCAGTATCTCTTCTTGGTGAGTAGGAAGGGGCTGATGAAAGTGGGAGAGGTTTGCCATCTGCCTCTGAGGCCAGCTGACCCCACTTATGCTGACCACAGGAGCCCAATCCCGAAGACCCGTTGAACAAGGAGGCTGCCGAGGTCCTTCAAAACAACCGGCGGCTGTTTGAGCAGAATGTGCAGCGCTCCATGAGAGGTGGCTACATCGGGTCCACCTACTTCGAGCGCTGCCTGAAATAGGGTTGGCGCATATCTGCCCCTGCCAGGGTCACCAGCCCGGGCATCCCCTGCAAATATTTATTGGGGGCCACGGGTGGGGTTTGGGGGCCAGTGGGGGAATCCCTGCATTGGTCTTGCCACTCCTCCCTGCTACTTACCCCTAGTTATTTTTTTTTTTAACCACCATGTGATTATGGTCGGCGCTGCCTTTCCCCGACCTGCTCAGCGATGGGAAATGAATTGGCTTGTCTAGCCCCCCTCCTCCCCGCTGGGTGCTATCCAGCCGCCCGCTCTGGGTTGTGGGGTGGGTGGGCTAGGGGTCTGGGTAAGCTGGGCCTCAGAAACCCACCCCTCCATCACTGGAGGTCCCACCAGGCTATTAAAGGGGAATGTTACTGCATGGCCTCTGCGTCTTCTGTGGGCGGGGACGGTCAGGGCTGGGGTCAGGGCTGGGACGGGTGGTCAGGCTGCGGCTCGCTCGCTCAGATGAAAGGCAAAGGCAGGGTCTGATACACCTGCCAGCGGGCAGCCTCCCCAGCACGGGGGCTCCTGGGTAGTGTTGCCCCCTGGCCTACCACGCCAGGGCTCACAGAGCGACATTCAAGAGGTGCTGTCCACAGAAGGGGTCCAAGGAGGAATTGTTCTGGCCCAAGTCTGAGGGCCGGGGGCGTAGGCGGAAGGCGAGCCACGCCCACGGAAGCTGCTACTCTGCGTTCCTCTGCTCCGCTCCGCTGGGCGGGACCGGGCCCTCCGCCTGTAGTGCGCATGCACTCGGGCTGGCGCGCGTGCGTGGTCCTACCGCTTCCCAGCGTTCCAGGTGGGGGCGGGACGTGTGACGTCAGGCGGTTTAAGCCGGAAACGGCGGTCGCTTTGGCGGCTATCGGAGGGGCTGCCAGTGGGTTCGCCGCGGATCCGAGCAAGACGAGTCTGACCCGGAAGCGGAAAGGCTGCGTTTCCCCGTCCCAGCTCCGGTGAGTGACTTGCTGGGCCTCCGGTTCCGAGCGAGCGGCGGCTTCCCTTTGGCTGGGATGTCTACTGCTGCGCCCTTCCGGGAGCCCGTCTTCGTTGTTGGCGGGGACCCCGGCCGCTCTCACCTCCCGCCTGTGTGCTGAGGAGCCCTGCGCTCCCCTCCCGCAGGCCGGTGCTCGTCGCCACCGCCACGTACGGGGTGTACGAGGTGCCAGTTGCCGCGAGGCAGGCTCAGCGCTCAGGACCCCACTTCCTGTTGGCGTTCGGAGCCTCGGCCTGCTTCGTCCGTGTCCCACAGTCCGGGGGCCCGGACCCTGCGCTCGCCCAGGGCCGGTCCGGCTGCACCCCTGCGTACTCTAGGGGCACGCCCCTGGCTCTTGGAACCAGCGAAATGGGGTTTTCCTGCTATATCCCCAGAGCTGCCCACGTCCCTCAGGCTCAGAGCCTCCTGTCCCTGCCTACCTGAGTAACCTCGCTCTACCTGTTGATCTTTCTAGGACACACCCCAGAGCTCGGCCTCACATTTCTTAGGCCCGAAAGCAAAGCACCTTTCACCACCACCATGGACCTGTTGTTTGGGCGCCGGAAGACACCAGAAGAATTACTGCGGCAGAACCAGCGGGCACTGAACCGAGCAATGAGGGAGCTGGATCGAGAGCGACAGAAGCTAGAGACCCAGGAGAAGAAAATCATTGCAGACATCAAAAAGATGGCCAAGCAGGGCCAGATGGTGAGTGTGGGCGGTCAGGGGCTCTGACGCAGGGAATGGTGTCACTTAGCTGGATGCTGCTGTGATGGTGAACAAGATGAGCATGGCTTCCAGTTCCGATGTCTGAGGCTGCCTCCAAAGAAGTGCTGTCGACCAGCAACAAGACTTGACAATGACAGTGACCTAAAGTTATAGGAATCTGGGAGAACAAGTAAGCTCTGATAGGTGGACAGGGACCAAACAGTTCAGAGGCATGGGACACCGTAGGAGCTGAAATCTGCAGTAAGGAGACTGGGAAGGTGGGTGGAGCCAGATACCAGTGGCTTGCACCTATATCCCTAGCCACTCAGGTGGAGATCTAGATGAGAGTTGCCAACTACAAACCTGACCTTTTTTTTTTTTTGCCAGTCTTGGGGCTTCAACTCAGGGCCTGGGCCCTGTCCTTGAGCTTTCTTTTGCTTTGCATTCTACCACTGAAGCCACAGCACCACTTCTGGTTTTTTCTATTTATGTAGTACTGAGAATCGAACCCAAGACTTCATGGCATGCTAGGCAATTACTCTACTGCTAAGCCACATTCCCAGCTCAAATCCAAGATTCTTATCTTCATTTATCCAGCAAAAAATGTGAAAGCACAAGTGGCTCATGCTTGTAATCCTAGCTACTTATGACTGAGATCTGAGTATCATGGTTCAAAGCCAGTCCAGCCACAAAAGCCCATGTTTCATCTAAGCACCAAAAGCCAGAAGTGGAGCTGTGGCTCAAGTAGGAGAGCCCTAGCCTTGAGCACAAAAGTCCAGTGTCCAGAGAACTAAGACTGGCACCAAGAGGAAGGAGGGAGATCTAAGTGGAGATGTGGCACAAATGGTAGAGTACCATCCTTGAAAGTATGAGGCCTGGGGGCTGGGAAGGTGGCTCAGTGGTAGAGTGCTTGTCTTGGATGCTTGAGGCCCTGGGTTCGATTCCTCAGCACCACATAAGCAAAAAAAAAAAAAAAAAAGGAAAAAGCCAGAAGTGGCACTGTGACTCAGGTGGTAGAGCGCTAGCCTTGAGGTGAAGAGCTCAGGGACAGCGCCCTGGCCCAGAATTCAGGCCCACTACCGGACCTCCCCCACCCCCCAAAAAAAAGTATGAGGCCTGGGAATGTAGCTTAGTGGTAGAATGCTGGCTTAGCATGCTTGAAACCCTGGGTTCTCAGTACCAAACAGAAACCGGAAGCAGAGCTGTGGCTCAAGTGGTATATAGTACAAGCCAAGTTATGAGGCCTGGAATTGAATCAGTACTCACACAGAGATGAGCAGTAAGGAAAACAAATTAAGATAGGTGACAGAACTTTTAGTGAACCTGAACAGCTAGGCAGAGGATGTGCAAAGACAAAAAGGATTTTTTTTTTTTTGTATTCCTGCAAATTGGAACCAGGAAGGACCTGTACACTAAGCAAGCGCTCTTTTGAGTAAAATCTACAGCAAGGGCACTCCTTTGGTACTCACACTAGTACCTAAACTCAAGGTTTTGTACTGTTTTCATTCAAGGCTGGCAGTCTCCCACTGGAGCCATACCTACACTTCCAGCCTTTTGCTGGTTAAGTCTCTTGGACTGGTATGCCCTGACTGACTTGCAGTCCTAAGCCTCAACTCACAACCTTCTGAGTGTTTAGAAGTCCAGGCAGTGAGTGATTCTACATGGGGAAGGAAAAAGACCTCTAAGAGTGACCCTGGGCCTCCTTTTGTATTTAAAGGTCAGTGACAAAACACATTGAGATGTCTGGAAATAGCAGGAATAGAACTTAATCTCACAGCTTTATCCTTATACTTTGTCCACTCTCCATTCTCCAGGATGCTGTACGCATTATGGCAAAAGACCTTGTGCGCACCCGGCGCTACGTACGCAAGTTTGTGTTAATGCGAGCCAACATCCAGGCTGTCTCTCTCAAGATTCAGACACTCAAGTCTAACAATTCTATGGCACAAGCCATGAAGGGTGTTACCAAGGCTATGGGTACTATGAACAGACAGGTAAGGAAGGTATGTGTGCCTCCCATTCCCTATTCTTGACCTTCAATTAACTCACCACCCCCTACTTCCAGCTGAAATTGCCACAGATCCAGAAGATCATGATGGAGTTTGAGCGGCAGGCAGAGATTATGGACATGAAGGAAGAAATGATGAATGATGCTATAGATGATGCCATGGGTGATGAAGAGGATGAAGAGGAGAGGTTGTGGGGAAAGGCGGGAAAAAAGGGATGTTTTCCTAGCCCTGGGATAGGGATGTTTGCATAGCCCTGATGGAGTTCCTCCTCTTCCCTAGTGATGCTGTTGTGTCCCAAGTCTTGGATGAGCTGGGACTGAGCCTGACTGATGAGCTGTCAAGTGAGTACTGCTAAAACGTGTACTTTTTCCCCCTTGTTACAGCGCAGTCCTTCCTCTCCCTAAACTATCACTCTCCCTACAGACCTTCCCTCCACTGGAGGATCACTCAGTGTAGCTGCTGGTGGGAAAAAAGCGGAGGCCACAGCCTCAGCTCTGGCTGATGCTGATGCAGACCTGGAAGAGAGACTCAAGAATCTGCGAAGGGACTGACGAACCCACCCACCCCCTGGGATGGATATAATGCCCAGTTTCTACTCCAACCCCACTCAATAAAAGATTGGACGCTAACTTCCCTAGCCTTTTACTACATTGTCTTCAATACCCAAATGCCAATGTGATTTAGTGCTTGGAGCGGGGACGTGCAAGCCTGGCCTTAAAACACTAGCCTCTGGGGGCTGAAGTCAAGGTTTTACTCTCCATCACTGCTCTGGTTAATGTCTTAACATGGCTTGACCTAGTGAAGAATTTAAGGATACAACAAAGGATGGAAAGCCAAAGGGAATAGCCAGCCCAACTTGGACATCTCACTGAAGGTGAACCAGAATAGCTGAAAGATCACAGATGGGAGAACTTTGCAGTGTAAGATAGGGAAGGAAAGTCTCGGTGCAAAAGGCATGGGAAACACCAAGGGTGGAAACAAAGTACAGTGGGGCACTCTGTCAGCTCAGGCCTCTGGTATGTACACCACCTTCCACCCTGCAAGACCCTTCCTCTCCCAGCATACCATCCACTGACCGTTTGGTCAGTGGATGATGTTCTTCCACATTCCCTTGGCATCGAGAAGGCTTCAGATGGTCTGAAGTGGGGGGGGGGGGGGGGGAGGAGTAATTGGACCAGGATGAGTAGATGCAGTGACCAGGTCTCAGGACCAGAGCCCACAACCAGGAGAGGCCTGAGCAACTGGTGAAATTTTTATTAAATCCACAGAAGTAAAAACCATTTTGTGAGACTGAGGGAAGAGGACACCAGGGAGGAGATCAGGTCACCTGGGGGTGGGGGGAGGACAAACGTGGGGTGACAGAAGAGACCAGAGCCAATCTGGCTTCAGGGGCCCTCACCAGGGCCACCAGACAGCTCCTGGGAACTTAGGTTAGCACTGGGCAGACTCAGCGGCGGGGGCTCCACCAACACAGCAGAGAACTTGGTGTCACCGAAGGCATCATTCATGCGTGTCTCGAAAAAACGCTGTAGGCCGATGATGGACTGCACATCCGCCTTGTCCTGAGCCAGGCAGGGAGGCGTGTTGAGTGGGTGGGTCCTGCTCTTGACTCCCTCCCGCTTTCAGTCAACACCCCCCCACGGGTGGAACAGCTTACCTCAGTCAACTTGTTGAACTGCTTGAACATGCGGCCCACATCCTGGGCAAACTCCTGTGGAGAACTGTAAGGGGGTGACAGCTTCTCTTGGAGGCGGGCGCGGATCAGGGTTAGGTCCAGGGTGCCACCAGGCTGCTCCTGTGTACAGGCAGACACACAATGAGGCTAAGGCCAGCATTTGCCCCTCCTCTTCTGTCCTGGCACTCACCAGGGAGAAGGTAGAATCAGTAACCAGCTGGTGTAGAGGGCGGCAGGGCTCATGGCAGAACAGCGCCAGCAGGACACGTTCACATTTCTATGAACAGGTACAAGGAGATGTCAGAGCTGCAGAGAGGAATTCTGCCACAAGGCCAAACACACCAAAGTCTGGCTACTCACCCGCTGGTTGGCTGGTGAGAGCTTGGCCACTACACCAGTGCTATCCCCACCATCCAAGCTAAGGCTGCCATCCTCCTCCTTCAGGTCAGGAAGCACATGGCAGAGTGAGCAGCTCCACTCCTCCCTAGGGCAAAAAGTGACCGAAAGTACAGGTCTATGCTCAGCCCACCCATTCCTGCCCAGAACCCACCCACCCAGCCTTGCACACACACCCTGGCACATCCTGTAGGGCAGGGAGATGGCAGTCAAGGTGGAAGCAAAACTCGCACTGGTTACACATGACCAAGTCTCCTGGCTTCTGGCAGACACGGCAGATGGTGGCGCTGTCATCGAGGGCACCTGGGCCACCAGCGGGGGCTGAAGGGCCCTCAGGAGCCACCACCTCTAGGCCAGAGCTAGTACTGCCACTTGGGGAGGCCAAGCGGGGGCCCTCGGGGCCAGGGCCCTCCGTCAGAGCCATGAGCACAGGCTTGGTCTCAGGACCCTCAGTGGCAGTGGGTGGGGCTCCAATGGCAGCCTCTGTCTCCTCCTCCTGGCAAGGCAATCAGATTTCATGTAGTAGGAGTTCATATCTAGTGAGCATTATCCTTCAAACAAGGTCCCTTAGGGCAAGCTCACCTTAACAATGGCCATGGCAGGCAGGGGAGAGGCACCAGGAGCCCCTGGGGGCACAGCCCCTGACTGACCAGCTGCTGCAGCACCTCTCTCAATGACAATGAGGTTGTAGTCCTCAGTGGTGCTGCCAGGAAAGACTTTGAAGACTGGTGGCTGGCTATCAGCTGTAAGGTCCAGGTCTAGGCGTTCAAGGCTCACCCGGGGCACCTTGCGCATGAGGCCACTCACCTCACCCTCAGCTGTGCGGGACGACCTATAGACAGACCTTGGCATGAGTGCCCCCATCCCTATCCTTCCAACTACTTGCCACCCCAGGGGAATGCCACACTCACCGCTTCATGCCTGATACATGAGGCTCTGCACTTGAGTAGGGATCATCTGCTCAGAAACGACAAGTAGAGATATGGGGATATGGCTCAAATAGTAGATCAAGGAAGCAAGTTAGAATAGACACTGGGCAATCACTGGGAACCTCCCACTTACCAGTCTGAGCTACACTTACCTGACCCAAAACCATAGCCTTCCTGTACCTCCGTAGGCTAGACAGAACAAAGCAGATAACCTCAGTAAGGCAGACACACCCCATGGAACTGTTCTCTGCTGCTACCTGGGTCCTCTAGCCTGCTTACCTGGCTGCTGCCAGAGCCTTGCTTACTCAGGGGTCCGGGGGCTCGTGGTGGAGCCATGGGTGGAGGACCTGTGGAGTTGGTACCAGGACGCTCAGCCACAATCTTGCCTAAAGGAAGAGAAAGGCCTAAGTAAACACAACACCTGGGGTGGAAAAACAAGAGCAAAAGCAAAGGAGTAAGACCCACCAAAGGCTTCAGCACTCTTGGTCCAGGCATTGAGGTCCCACTGAAACTTCATCTCACCGTGTGGCTCCACAGGATCCACAATCATTTTAAGGGCTCGATGCAGCTGGAAATAGATCTGGTGGGGAGAGCAGGTGGGTCAAAGTACAACGAACAAGAGGCCCAATGATGCTGAAGAAACCTGCTCCAGGCCCATCACACATACCAGCTTCTTAGAAAGCAGTAGGGCAGTGCTGTTGTCACTTTCCAGAGCCCAAGAGGCAAACCGCAAGATGTGCTCCTGATGCTTCTGGATCTTGGTCATGGTCCAGTGCTGCCGCTCCAGGCGTTCCTGCTGCCCCTCAGTCACCTTCTGCAGGCCAGGGGAACAAAGTGAGCAAAGAAGGCAGATGACCTCTGGAATCTGTCTCTATCTGGATGGCATCAACCAGGAAAAAGGGCCCAGGCACCACCCCACCTGATATGCATGACCCACCTGGGCATCGTTGACCAGCACACGACCTCGCTTGTTCAACTCCTTCATGATCTGCAGGATGGCCATCTTGACATCAACCTGCACACGCTTCTGCACATCAGACACCTGGCGAATCCTAGGACACAGGGCAAGTCAGGCCAGGAAGTCCCGCCCCAGGCCACCTCACAGCCCTGGTACCCACACTTACGAGCTGCGAACCTCCTTGGTACTCTTCTGCAGTGTAGCATGTTTGTCCCCAAGACGCTTCACCAGTGAAGCTAGCAGCTTACGCTGGTTCCTCACTGCATCCTCCAGGAACTGATACCTGAAAGCAAATGTGAACCTGCATGCAAGGGCCAGGAAGAATTGGCACCACACACCAACTGTGACTCAGGACATAACTCACTGGTGGTCCTTATGGGCATTGAGCTGGCAGTCACGACAGGTGAGGGTATCACAGCTCTCACAGAACAGCACAAGGGGTTCATGCTTGTGCACACTGCAATAGACAGTACGTTCACCATCCCGAGACTTGGCTGGCCCTGAAGTGGGAAACATCAAGATGCACCTTTGAACTTAGCCACCACACATGGTAGATAATTTGGGACTCATTTCCTGTCCATTATATTAAACCTTAGCCTGCCTATTGGAAAGATATAGCAATGGCAGCTTCTTGTTCCCAGAACCCTCTAAAATGGCCAAAAGTCTATTCTAATTTCTGAGAAAAAATGTAAAAGGAGTTAGCACAACAGAACAGTCTGTTAACACCCTCCTTGCCGTACCCTGAAAACCTGTCCAGGAAGGTGCAGTGCTACCTGACTACAAACCATATGCCAATTAGCCTTCTCCTCTGCTTATGGCAATCTTCCCTGTCCCATAGTAAGAAAATGCCTAAGTCTCTCATTACACAAGCCACAGTTTCCACAGCCTTCTTCAGACTGGAATGCAAAGGTTTCACACTGGGGTCCTCAGAATGACAGAAGAGCCCCTTCTGTCTCCAGTTAACCAGCAAAATGCAGAAAGCAAAGCTGTGGTCTAAGTGCTATGGAGCTAGCCTTAAGGAAAACATGAAGGGATAACACCTAGCCCTGAGAGTTCAAGCTCCAGTACCCACACAAAAAAACAAGCTGGCTGGGCATGGCAGTCTCTTTCATCACAAATACTACATGAACAACTAAACACTAACTATACTACTGAACATGGGCATTAGCTTCCCCAATGCAACCCACTTGCGCAACTCTGGAAAGTAGGATTTCTGTAAATCTCCCTGTGCATCCATCCTGGTTCTTAAAAGCTGATAAGCCACCATCCTTCATTACAATCTGTCTTCTAGGGCTGGGAAGGTGGCTCAGTGGTAGAGCTCTTGCCTTGCATGCATGAGGCCCTGGGTTTGATTCCTCAGCACCACAGAAGAAAAAAGAAAAAAAGCCAGAAGTGGTGCTGTGGCTCAAGTGGTAGAGCGCTAGCCTTGAGCTGAAGAGCTGAGGGACAGCTCCCAGGCCCAGAGTTCAGGCCTCACGACCGAACACACACACACACACACACACACTCTCTCTCTCTCTCTCTCTCTCTCTCTCTTCTAGGCCGAGAAGCTGTAATATCAAGGCAGTTCATGAAACACAATGGTTCATGCCTGTAACCTCAGATACTCAGAAGGCAGAAATTAGAGAACAGCTTGGGATAGGAAAATTTACCAGGATTCCCCCCAACTCAACCAACTATGTAAGACTATGGTCTAGGGCTGAGCTCAAGCAAAAAAAACCCAAATATCCTACTCCAAAAGTCATTAAACAAAATGAGTAAGATGCTGGGCACGAGTGGCTCACACCCGTAATCCCTACTCTGGAAGGGTTCAAAAGCCAGCCTCAGCAGGAAGTCTGTGAGACTCTTATCTCCAATTAACCTCCAGAAAATGGGAGGTGTCACAGTGGCTCAAGTGGTAGAGCGCTAGCCTTGAGCTGAAGAGCTGAGGGACAGCGCCCAGGCCCAGAGTTCAGGCCCTACCACCGGACCCCCCAAAAAAAATCTGGAGTAACTCAAATGGTAGAGACTGTGTGCAGCAAGTATAAGATTGTGAGCTAAACTGCCAGTACCACCAAAAACAGAATAGTTCAAAGATCATGGGGGCGCCGGGCACTCACGCCTGTACTCACGCCTGTAATCCTAGCTACTCAGGAGGCTGAGATCTGAGAATCTTGGTTCAAAGCCAGCCCGGGCAGGAAAGACCGTGAGACTCCTATCTCCAATAAAACCACTAGAAGACCGAAGTGGCGCTGTAGCTCAAGTGGTCGAGCGCTCGCCTTGAGCTGAAGAGCTGAGGGACAGTGCCCATGCCCAGAGTTCAAGCCCCATGACCAACAAAAAAAAAAAAAGATCATGGGGGTTTGAATTCAGGGCCTAGGGACTCTATTACTTTGAGTTACAGTATCACTTGTGATTTTCTGGTGGTAAGTGGGAGATAAAAGTCTCACTTTCCTGTCTGGGCTGGCTTTGAACTCAGATCCTTAGGTCTCAGCCTCTTGAGGGGCTGGGAAGGTGGCTCAGTGGTAGAGTGTTTGCCTGGCATGCATGAGGCCCTGGGTACAATTCCTCAGCACCACATAAGCAGAAAAAGCCAGAAGTGGTGCTGTGGCTCAAGTGGTAGAGCGCTTGCCTTGAGCATTCCAGGACTGGCCCTATCAAGGTTGATCAGATCCTGGAATGAATGCTGATCCATAAAACCTGTCTGGACACCCTTGGGTCATACCTGTAATCCTAGCTACTCAGGAGATTGAGATCTTAGGATCACAGTAAAAAATCAGCCAGCCATGGCAATAAAATTGGTGTAACTCATCTCCAATTCAGCCAGAATTGAAGTGTGGCTCAAGTGATAAACCATTTCAGCAAAAAAAAAACAGCTCAGGACAGTAGTGCCCAGGCCCCAAACACAAACACACTCTTTCTCTCTCTCTCTCTCTCTCTCTCAACCTGCCCCAGGCTGGGCTCCAATGGTTTGTGGCTGTACTCTTAACTATGCAGAAGGTTGTAATCGGAGGATTGCTGTTCAAAGCAAGTGAGTGCAGACAAATCTGAGACTCTTAATCTCCAGTTAGACTCTCCAAAAAAAAAAAAAAAAGATAAGTAAAAAGTGGAACTGTATCCTGTATCAAGTAGTACTCTTGAGAGGAAAAAAAGGGGGGTGGGGGGGCTGGGAATATGACTTAGTGGCAGATGCTTCTCTAGCATGCATGATAACACCCTGAGTTCGATTCCTCAGTACCACATACACAGAAAAAGTTGGAAATAATGCTGCGGGCTCAAGTGGAACAGCAAAAGCTCAGGGACAGAACCAAGACCCTGAGTTCAAACCACAGGATCAACAAAAACAAAAACAAAGGGACTTGCATGTGCATATGTGAGCACATGCGTGCACACACGGAAAAAAAAAGTGGCCCATCCCAGGAGGTGTTCAAGTGGCACTGAAATTAACCTCCCCGTAATACTACAACCCCCCCACCCCCCAAAGTAAAGGGTCCTAGCCAGGCACCGGTGGCTCAAACTGCAGTCCTGTGAAACTTAAGGGTCAGAGTTTAAGAAAGTCCAGCGAGGGCTGGGAAGGTGGCTCAGTAGTAGAGCGCTTGCCTTGCATGCCTGAGGCCCTGGGTTCGATTCCTCAGCACCACATAAGCAAAAAGAAAAAAAAACCGGAAGTGGCGCTGTGGCTCAAGCGGTAGAGCGCTAGCCCTGGGCTGAAGAGCTGAGGGACAGCACCCAGGCCCAGAGTTCAGGCCCCACGACCGGACCCAAAAAAATAAAAGAGAAAGTCCAACGAACTGTTTACATACACACACACACACACACGCCCGAGGCTCCAGTTAATGGTACAGTGCTTCCCTGAGCAAAAGAGCTCAGGAACACTCAAGGCCAAATTCAAGATCTCCCCAGGACTGGCACAAAAATCTGTCCCAGAAGCCTCATTTCCCAGGCCACATACCAGGGAACCCAAAAACCAGCAGTTCCGGCATCGCATATCTTTCACTAGCTGCATATGCTAAACCTTTCACACCCACAATGCTATGCATCCTTTGTGGCAGGCTGAGGACCACTATGCTTCCAGGTCCATGTCCATGCTACCCAAATAATGCCCCAAACAAAGCACTCTAAAGCTCCAGCATTCATTTCTGAGTTCCGAGCTCCGGCCCTCCTGATGGTATCCCTTATTAAAATCACAGAGACACACTTTCGCATGCACACCTCCAGAACACGCCAATTAAAAGGGGACTCCTAGATCCTGCCGTCACGTACCGGTGGAGCGCACGGTGTGGTCCTTGGTGTACTTCACCCGCTGGTGCGCCTCCACACACGTCTCGCACAGCGGCTCGGAGCACTCCACGCAGTAGCTGGTGGCGGGAGCGTTATCCTCACAGCTAGTGCAGCACTGTCGAGAGAGGAGACGCTCAAGCTGGGGTCACAAAGCGGGGCTCCGCGGGGCGCGATCGCGGGCACGCGGGAGGACCACGCACCTGGTTGGCATCCTGGGCGTCGGAGGCGGCCTTGCCCCCGCTGTCGCGCATGAAGTAGTTCTCGACGATGTCTTTCAAGAAGCATTGCTGCTTGCACACCGGACAGTCCACCACTGTGGGGGGCGGGGGCCGGTGAGGCTAGCGCGAGGGGGCCGGGCTGGGCCTCGGCCGGCCCGCCTCCCTCCCCAGCCCACTCTCCCCTAACGTGAGCCAGGTGCCGCTCGCTACAGCCCGGCGCAGGCCCCGCCGCCG